TTCCTGTTTCCTCTTCCTTAAATCCCTGGAATTATTTTCCTGGTGGAGATAATACTAAGGAAAGTTGAAAGTGCCTCCTTAGAATGAAAGCCATTTCACATCCTGAAAATTCCAGAAAGAACGATGTCTCGAGTTTTGCTTTTCTACTTAGATCTGCTCAGTTGACTCGATTATGTATGAGCTGTCTGGCATATTTTTGAGGATAATTCAAGAGAATAAGATGGAAGAATGTGCCATGGAGAATTGCAGCTCGGGCTGAGGGCACCCCAAATCCCAGCTCAATCTCCTGCTGTAGCTGTGCTGAGTGAGCTTTGGGCACGGGGGTTTTTGTCCAATAAGAGAGAGGCCTTCCTCCCTGTGGCTCCCTACGTGGAGCCCAAAGCAATTATCGCCAAAGAAAACCATCCTGGGTCCACCTCCCCAGGCCCAAGACGCAGAATGCACTGGCTTCACTTCCCGGTCCCTGGCCACCGTGGATTCCCACCATTCCAGTTCCTCGGGGCTTGAGAAAATGAAAAAAATAAAATAAAAACTCACTGGAGGAAGACGCCAGAGGCTCCACCGAGCACACAGTTAATTACCAGGTCCAGTTCTCAGGGGGGTGGCCGCCCTTGCCTGTGACAGAGGACAGAGGGCATCTGCTTTACAAATACACTTGGAAGTTGAGCACAGCGCGGTGAAACCCTTTCTTTCCAAAGAGCCACTCCATCTGCCTTTGTTCTTGCTCTGCCCCAGCCCCAGGGGCCGCTGCCTTCCCAGGTGTCCTCGGGGCCTGCTAGTGGGAGGGCGCCCTGGCCTGGACAAAGCCCCCAGCCCCTCAGCCAGCAGCAGGAAGGACAGGGCCCAGCCCCGGGGGTCCCCCTGCCTCCCCATTCCCCTGGGACCTTCCGGCTCCGCAGCCCGGCACTGATGGCCCGGAGTTGCTGGCTTTCCTCGGTACCAATGTGTCCTGCAGGGCTCAAGATGCCACCGCGGGCCGGCAGGGTCTGTCCTCTCCTGCCATCGCCCCTCGGTCTGCTCGAAGAGGTGAACTTCTGCCATGTGTGGCTTAAAGACGAGGGTGCGGCCGTGCAGTGATCTCATCGTTGATGGAACGTTGTAAAGTGTGCCGTGTCACTGGCGGACGCCTTCAGCTCCCTTATAACCCTGCAGGACTCCGTCATGCACGCTGGGCCGGCCGGGCCACAGTTCTCACCAAAACATCGTTGAGAGGTGCATGACTGTCTCTCCCAGGCATTTAACAAGGACAGCGGTAGCCTGCGCTGTGGCACAGCAGGTTAAGCCGCCACTTGCAACACCAGCATCCCATTTGGGCGCCAGTTCGTGTCCCGGCTGCTCCTCTTCCTATTCAGTTCCCTGCTAATGCACCTGGGAAAGCAGTGGAAAATAGCTCGAGTGTTTGGGCCCCTGCACCCACGTAGGAGACTCATCAGAAGCTCCTGGCTCCTGGCTTCAGGCTAGCCCAGCCCCAGCCATTGCGGCTATTTGGGGCATGTTCCAGCCGATGGAAGCACTCTCTTCCCCTCCCTCTCTGTAACTCTGACTTTCAAATAAAATTTTAAAAAATCTTAAAAAAAAAAAAAAAAAAGCAAGGATAAAGACTCTGGAGCTAAAAGAGAGCCCTTGATTGGGCAGAATTGCGAGCATTAAGAGACAAGTAGGGCCAGGCACGGAGAAGAAAAGGCACCCTGGGGTCCCTCGGCTTGTGTCAGAGAAGGGCTTTGTGCCTTTCTGGGCTCGAGTATTTGAACAAGACTTCCATGGACATGAAACCAGCAAGTTTTTCCTTTGTTTCCTTTATGAAGATCGGAGAGGGGTTAGCCCACAGGGTCCCCAGAGGAGAGGTGCTGGAGCAGGCGGTTGAACCTGGGCCTCTGGGCTCCCCACTCTGGGTGTCACCCGTCTGGTCCCTGCCAGCCTCAGGCCTGTTTCAGAATCTGAGCGGGTTTAGCCCTCCTCGCTGGCCTACCAGCTCTGATGTCACAGGTACTGATTCCTTTGCTTCGGACAGAAATAGATCCGTTCTCAGGATGTGCCAGTTAATGGAAGCCAGACAAGGCAGACGTGGAGGCCCACTGCGTGGTGCCTGGCGCTCACCCAGGAGTTGCACTGGGGACAGAACACCTCTGCCCTTGGGACTGCCCCTGGGGCTTCCAGGCACATGCACGGTGACAGAGCCCTGTCCAGCACTCCCAGGCCAGCCACTTGCATCCAAGCCCCAGGAGATGGACGCACCTCTGCCCCGGCCACCTCCTTCTCTAACTGACCTTGGAATGAGCATCCCACCTCGGTAGGACAGAGGACTAGGCAGCAGTGGGGGCGGGGTGGGGAGGTCTCAGCTTCTGAGCTGTGCAGGGTCTCCTAGCCAGACAGGGTCTCCTATCTGGACGCTGAGATGTGCGTAGTGGAGGGAGCGGGACTCAGCCACGTGGTCCACACGGTGCAGCCAGCTGTCAAAGCAGTGTCTCTAGTGGCATGCACAGGGCTCAGTCCTCAGCCTTGTCCTACTCACTTCTGTCCTAGTCTGTGCCACATACGACCATACAGGTGGCAGCTTCATGGATGCATGAGAAGTTTTTGAAGTGGGAATGACATTAGAATCTTAGCTTTGCCACTTGGCTGTGTAAACTTGGAGAAGTAACTTGGCCTCTCTGAACCTCCTTTAAAAAAAAAGAGATGTATTTATTTGAAAGGCCGAGTTAGAGAGAGAGGAGAGACAGAGATCTTCCATCTGCTAGTTCACTTTTTTTTTTTTTTTTTTTGACAGGCAGAGTGGACAGTGAGAGAGAGAGACAGAGAGAAAGGTCTTCCTTTGCCGTTGGTTCACCCTCCAATGGCCGGCGCAGCCGGTGCGCTGCTGCCGGCACACCGCGCTGATCCGATGGCAGGAGCCAGGTGCTTCCTCCTGGTCTCCCATGGGGTGCAGGGCCCAAGCACTTGGGCCATCCTCCACTGCACTCCTGGGCCACAGCAGAAAGCTGGCCTGGAAGAGGGGCAACCGGGAAAGAATCTGGCGCTCCGACCGGGACTAGAACCCTGTGTGCCGGCTAAGGGATAAGTACCTGGCTCCTGCCATCGGATCAGCGTGGTGCGCTGGCCACAGCGGCCATTGGAGGGTGAACCAACGGCAAAGGAAGACCTTTCTCTCTGTCTCTCTCTCTCACTGTCCACTCTGCCTGTCAAAAAAAAACTGAACCAGATGGTGTCCCCCAAAGTTCATGGAGAATGGAATGAAGTTTCTGTTGGTGCCAAAATGTTTGGAAATCCATGCATAGTTGATTTTTCCTAACAAGCATTTTTCATGAACTTTTTGAGATCCATCATATTTTTTATTTCAAAATATTTTGCACGAAAATACCCTTAGCTTTCAATTCTATTTTCCACAAGCTTTTTTGAAGTGCTGTGGAAGATGAAGCTGCCTGACTGTGTGGTTCCAGCAGGAAAAAGAAAAAAAAGAAAAGAAAAGCAGACCTCCTGTGGCCCTCCTGTGTGGAAGGAGGGGCAGCTGCTGCAGGCGGGGACCGGGAGTTGGGGGGGGGTGCAAGGGGGGTAGGAGTGGGGGGCTGTTTGTGGGTGGCCTGGACAGGCCCAGGGGGCTCCTGAGCTCCCTGATGCTGAAAGGGGGAAGCCAGGAGCCAAGGGCCCCAGCTTTGGGTCCCTCCCCAGGGAGGTACTGCAGCTCCTGTGGCAGCCCCACCTTGTCCCTGCCTGGGCAGGAAAGCTGATTAGGCTGCAGTAGGTCATGTGCTAGAATTAATTTGTCTTGCCTGAGCTCCTGAGAGTCAGAGAGTGAAGCGCAAATCCCTGGAGGCCAAGGCCAGGCTGGCTTTTAATCAACGCTGATCAAACTTCAGCCCGAGGAGGTTTTAAAAGGAAGGAAAATGCTCCCAAGGCCATCCCTGGTCTTATTCCAGGCAATTCCACAAACACCCGGCTCTGCACGTGTGGCTGGGATGGGCCCCTGGCGTCTGTGGGCTCTGGCTTTTTACACTGCCCGTTGTACAGGTGAGGTCAGCGCCCCTTAACCTCTGGTGGAGCACAGAGGTGAGGCCTTGGCAAGGGGGCAGAGTGGAAGTGGATTTTCATTTGAAATCAACACACTAATTAGAACTAAGTGTCCCTAGGCCTAGGCCAACTCCGTACAGTCTTCTGGGGCCCTGTTAACACCGGGTTCCTGGGAAAGGTGTCCAGGTGACACAGGACGTGGTGTTTGATCGGGCCTTGAAGGTTGGATCTCAGCAGGTGGACGTGCGGTGGGACCAAACCCTTGTCCTGGTATCAGTTGGTGGAAGTAGCTGCTGTGGCTTGAGATGTCAGGCACAGGGACAGCCCCTGGTCCCCCAGGCTCTGATCGGGCTCCTCCCTCACCCTTCGGGGCTGGAGAACCATTTTCCTGCCAAGGGTCACATGGAGATTTAAATCATCACAGGCCACACACAATGATCAACTGAGAAATGAGCCTGCTGTAGATGGTGTTGATATCGAGCCCCTCCTGCGTGCGATTGCCTTGGCAGGGCCGGACCCAGTGATCTCCTGTGCCTTATACAGCCCGCGGGCCAGACACCCCACCCGTGCTTTAGAGCAAGGCTGGCCAAGGAAGACAGCTTGTGTCCAGCCAGCTCTTGTCCATGGGCTAGGACCCAGGGGGGCAGGGAACGTCCAATACCTCTAAAGCAGGTTCATTTCTAAGTGGATCCTGTTGTTTGGGCCGCTAATGATGCCCTTGGTGGAGAAAAGCTTCCCCACACCTGCAAAGGAAGGGCCATATTTATCTCAAAAGCCAGGGTCAGGCGGCAAATCCAAGTGGGGAGCCCTGAGGTTGAGGCTCCGTGTCCGTGGCAGCTTTTCTCGCAAAGCACAGAGCTCCGGCCGTCTCGGCCCCACTGTGACCAAGAGGCTGATGAGCTTGAAATCCATTTACTTTGCTGGCCGTTTGGTTGCTCAGGGCCCTCTTGCCGCGCGAAGAGACCTCGGCGGCAGCAGCACGGCGCAGCACCGCCATGGAGACCGGAGGACCGGCTGCAGCCAGGAGCAGCTCCTTCGCCACCCCGGGGCCTGCCAGGTACCTGACCGCTCTCGGCCTCCACTGTGGGATGTTGGAGACCGAGGAAGAAAGACGGTGAAGTTGCGGGGTGGGGGTGGGGTGCAGCCCTGGAGGAGAAGGGGCCGGACTTGAGCAGCCTGAAGTCTACCAGTGAGTCACTGCCTTGCTCTTGGGTCGGGTGTTCTGAGTGCAGGAAAGCCTAAGAAACACTACCTTTGTCTCAAGACGCTTTAACCAAAGAGTGATGCTGAAAGCTTTGCTTAATTCTGGAAGGATGCAGGGGGAAAAAGGCCAACCAGAGAGGGCAGGGAGACCAGTGGCTGGAGACAGGCTCTCACGGGTGCAGGGCTAAGCGCTAGGGCCCGCGTCCTTACAAAACTCACCAGCTTGTCAAGGTGCACGGCTCTGGGGGCCTCTGAGGACAGCCCTCCTCGGGCATTGGTACTTGCACCACCCTGAGGAAGCCAAATATCCCAATGTCAGAGTTTCACCTTTAAGTGTTTCCCAGTGTTTGCGTTTTCCTGATGTAAGGCTACGTGAAGATCCTTTGGTTGCATGAAAGAGAATGGCTTCAGAGCAACTCAAACAGAAAGGCCTGGGCTGGCCGGGGCTGGGGCGAGCAAGCCCCAGAGCAGGTGAGGCTCTGGCCAGGAAACCAGAGAGCCGGGGCCCCGGGGCCCCCCAGGTGGCAGCTGCCTTCTCCCTCTCCGTGGATATTCCTGTGCGCTTCTCTGCCCGTCTCTTTCTGGCTTTCTTGCCTCACAGAGCAGCAGGTGCAGGGCTGGGAATGGCCTCCCTTGCTGACACGGGGCTGAAGCGCCGGGTGCACCTGGGAGTAGCTCCCAGTGCAGAGGTGCGAGTGACCGCCTGTGGGTGGGTTGTGTTCCTGCAGTCCTGTGGCAGGGGCTGGGGAGCAGTGTGCATGCAGCTTTGGTTCTTACCCCCTGTGCAGAGGGAGTGGGTGGGGGGTGTGTTCTGACAGAGGCAGGGCGGGGTGGGACCGGCACCTCAAAATCCACCTATAGCAGAGTTCTCTGCCACTGTGTGTGCACAATGTTTTCTTGCTTCTGTCTATTTCCTTAGGGTTAGGACACACAAGAGTGGGACTAGGGTTAAAGTGCATGACCAATGCGTGGCTTAGGTCCAGGTTTCCCAGAAGGGACTTTATTGGGGACATCTTGTCAATGCGGGGTCGGGGGTAACTGTGGACCCCCCATGACAGAAATGGGAAGTGTCGAAACACCTGTGCCCATCTTCCCATCTCCCCCAGCAGGGAGACGGGAGGCGGTGGGACAGTTAAGATGAGCTCTGGGGCCTGGGACAGCAGCCCATGGCCATGCGCCCTCCGGGGGGATCCAGCTCCAGGCGAGGAGTGGGGACAAGTTGCAGAGGACTTGTTAAGGGGAAACATTCCTCAGATTGGGGCCCGCGGGGGTGGGGGGTGCTGTACCTGGATGCTGGCTCTGAAAAGTCATTTGGAAAGTCTGTTGTTTTGCTGTTCCTCTGCTTAGCAGTCATAACCAGAGAGAGAGGAGGGGAGCAGGGAAGCTTGCTAATGCCCCTTTTGAAGCAAAGGACAAAGCCCTTATAAAGTGAGCATCTCTGGAGGAAGAAGCTCCGCCCACTCTGCAGGTGTCCAGGGAGAAAGGCATAGAGAGCCCTCCCCCCCCACACACACAGTGGAGATGCCCCTAGATCCACACCTTGCTGGTCATCTCTGTGCCCCGCGCTGTCCTCTGTCCTGGTCTTGCTCGCTCACCACCTGTCCTGGTTACCCTTCCAGCTGGCCGCACCTCATCCTCTCGCTGCGCACCTGGGCTGCCAGGCACTTCCACCCCGAGGACCAGGCACCAGACTCTTTTCTGGAACGTTTCCATGAAGCTGAGCTCAAAGAGGTGGCCAGCCGAGAAAGCAACACCCAGTCAAGTGTGGGCAGCCAGGAGCCACCAGACAGAGGGAGAAGGTAGGAATCCAACAGGAGCAAGGGCCGCCTGCGCCAGCTGGGCAGGCAGGAAACAGCTGCTTCTGCTTCGTCCACCTGGCATGTCCCCAGGGCGTGCTCCCTGTAAGTGGCTCCAGGGGAACACGGCCTGATCTGATGGCCAATGCCCCGGTTCAAGGAGCCCTGCGGGAGAGGACGCCTTTGGACTTGAGTTCCCAGCCTCCTTTGGCCCCTGAGCCCATTTTACATGGAGTCCCATCAGGATCCTCCACCTGGAGACGTTGGCCTCTCTCCAGCCTCTCTCCTCCCTCATCCTGGATCGCACCGCAACCCATCTTGCTCAGAGGCAGGGGGAGTGTTTTGTACCAGGAGCCTCAGAGGGGTACCTAAGTGGCACCCACAAGTTAATGTGCATGTGGATTTTTCTGGAAAGAAGGTTTTCAAGTTGGTTAGATTTTAAGGGGCTCCCTCCACAACCCAGATCAGAGTAAGAACCATCAGGAGAGCGGGGCAACAGGTTGGGGTCGAGTGAGAATGGGTGGGGGGAGTGCTGGCTGCCTGGTAGGAGGTCTGCAAGACAGGAGCCCCTGCCATCTTCTCGCGTGCCCACCCCCCGAGTGGGAGATAGACCTCCCTGATGGACGAGCTCTCCTCTCCCCCACAACACACACAGATGCCACCTCCCCTCTTGCTTGACTACCCAGGAGGTAGTCAGTGGAGAGGCCATTGGGCTACCATGGGCAGAACCCACTGTCCCCAAGGAGCTGGGCATCCCTGAGCAAGCTCCATAATCGCAACACTTGGGTGCTGTTTGCCTCTGAGACAAACATAGACGGCCCCACAGACATAAGGGAGAGGAGATGGAAGGGGGAGGGGTGCAAGGAGGGAGACAAAGTGGAGGACAAGGAGGGGGATGAAGAGAGGGGAAAAAGCCAGCCATCTAGACTAGTTCACTTCCTGGGCAAAGATTCCTTAGCTACACTGATCGAGTTATCTTCTTACAACCTTGGACTAATGGAGATGAATGTTAGACTCTGTGCATTTCCCACTGTGGCCAGGTGAGCAGAGGGGTGAGCGAGGACCACCTCCAGGACAGGCACCTGCTCACTCCAGGAAGGTTCGGGGCAAAGAAATGAATGTGATGGTGCAAGATGGCAGCTGATCAATCAGGGAGGCTTCCTGGGGGAAGAGGGTTTGAATGTTTGGACACAAACATCCCAGCTGCTAAGCAAAGTGGATGCAGAGGCAGGTCTTAGCTCCCCGGTGAGGGTCTGGCTTGCAGGTTAGGGGCACAGAAGTGAGTAAACACAGACCACTGCACCCCGGGGAGCTGGCTTTTCCCCATTTCCTGCTCACATGGGTTGCAATTTCTTGGGGGATTTTCAGAAGAGCAGAACCAATCCTGAAACAAGTAGTCCCAGCCGCGTTGTAGAGGGGGAGGGAGTCCCTGGCGGCGGCGGCGGAGCAGCCCAAAGGTGTTAGACTGGGCATCCAGTAGAAGGAAGAAAGTCAGGCTGAGCTGTCGCTGGCCGCTGGCTCCCGTCCCCGAGGGCTCCCATGAGTGATGTGCAGTGACCAGGGACGGGCAGCTCTCGGAGGCTAACTGGCCTTCCGACTTTCTTAAACCGCTGTGAAGAAAACTCGCGCGGGTGGCTGAGCCCTGGGAGTGCACGCTGCGCCTGGAGAGCACCCGGAACTTGCGAAGGGATCCACACTGCTGGTGCTCCTTCATTCAGGGCCCCCGTTTGGCCAAGGGTTCCACTTCTCTCTGCCCCCAAGGCTTTCGCCAGAGCGAGGTTGTCGCAGGCACAGATCCTGTCCAACAAGCACAACGCCCTGGGCTCTTCAAGATGTGGGCAGGAAGGCCCGGGAGGGGGAGGGGGATAGAGGTGCTGGGACAGTCCCTGGGGCACATGGTCCCGAGGGACTGCAGCTGAGTTCTCACCCCCGTGCTGTGCTCTCTGCCTCCCTGCAGTGCCTGGCCCCTGGCCAGAAGCAACACTAACGCCAGCAACAACACCGAGGAGGAGTAAGTACCCTGCTCCCAGCCTGGCTCGTGGGCCATCCTTCTCCTGGTAGAAACACAGCTGTGGCTCCCTCCTTAGGTAGTCTTGCTTCCCATCTTCCCGAAACACCCGGTAGAACATTCTAGAATCCTATTCCTTTCATTGGCAATCCATCCCCGTGGACAAGTGGGGGTGGGGTGGGGAGGGATGAGGGCTGTACAACTTCTTTGTGGAATTCATTCTTGGCTCTTTGACTCTCATTGTTCTCATCTACAAAGGTGCTGCGCTGGCTACAGGAGTGTGAATCTCCTGGGTCGCTGCGTATTTGAAGGTGCAAACCTGGAATTGCGCTGGCCAGGCAGTGGGTGTGCTCCTGGGTGATGTGACTGCATTTACATGCCACAGCATCAGGCTCCTGGGCACCAGGGAAGTGCCCGTCGTCTTAAGGCCGATTTAAGCCAATTTCGAGTGTAATCAGGACGGTGGAAAGAGGAAATTTGCATAGTTCCAGAGAAGAACCTCTCGGAAGGTCACCCTGGCATAATCACTTTCTGTCACCAGGTGCTGAGCTGGCAGATTCGTTTGATGTATGATTTTATTTTAGAACCCAGGGAGTATGCATATGTGTGTGACATTACACATGTGCATATATGTACATATATCACATTACACATGTGATATATGTACATGTGACATGCACATGCATGGTTTGCTGTATGAGGCATGCAGGTGTGACATATGTGCACATGTGTGTGACATGCATGTGCATATGTGTGTGATTCTCCATTTACCTCTTCCTTCTGGAACTCTTGGAGGCAGGAGGGCCTTAGTTGGAGGTTAGGGGAAACCATCACAGTGAACAAGAAATGCCACTTTCTTGGCTTTCAGGGGACAGAGAGTGTGCCAAGGCTTTTTTTTTTTATCTCCCTATTTGTTTCTTGGATTGAACTTCTTTCTTTCTTTTTTTTTTTAAACAGGCAGAGTGGACAGTGAGAGAGAGAGAGACAGAGAAAGGTCTTCCTTTGCTGTTGGTTCACCCTCCAATGGCCGCTGTGGCCGGCGCGCTGTGGCCGGCGCACCGCGCTGATCCAAAGGCAGGAGCCAGGTGCTTCTCCTGGTCTCCCATGGGGTGCAGGGCCCAAGCACTTGGGCCATCCTCCACTGCACTCCCTGGCCACAGCAGAGAGCTGGCCTGGAAGAGTCCAGTGTCCCGACTGGGACTAGAACCCGGTGTGCCGACGCCGCTAAGCGGAGGATTAGCCTAGTGAGCCACGGCGCCGGCCTGAACTTCTTTCTATCTCCCTTCATGAAGGAAGCTCTTGGTGGGTATTACAAAAAGTTCATGGAAAAATGGAGTTAAAACCTACGTTTACATTGGTGCAAAAACATTTTGAAATCTGCAAAGTTGTTGTATAAAGTGCATTTCCCCACAAACATTTTTTTTGACAGGCAAAGTTAGTGAGAGAGAGACAGAGAAAAGTCTTCCTTCCATTGGTTCACCCCCCAAATGGCCGCTACAGCCAGCGCACTGCGCCGATCCAAAGCCAGGAGCCAGGTGCTTCCTCCTGGTCTCCCATGCGGGTGCAGGGCCCAAGCACTTGGGCCATCCTCCACTGCCTTCCCAGGCCAAAGCAGAGAGCTGGACTGGAAGAGGAGCAGCCGGGACAGAATCTGGTGCCCCAACCGGGACTAGAACCCGGGGTGCCGGCATCTCAGGCAGAGGATTAGCCGAGTGAGCTGCAGTGCCAGCCTCCCATAAACTTTTTGAAGCTCCCTCATATGCATGAATTTTTAAAAACTTAATATCAGCATCATTTTTTAATTCCATTTTCCATGAACTTTTTGAAGTACTCTTTTTTAAAAGTTAAGTTATTTACTTGAGAGGCAGAGTTACAGAGAGAAAGGTCTTCCATCTGCTGGTTCACTCCCCAAATGGCTGCAATGGCCAGAGCTGGGCCAATCCCAAACCAGGAGCTTTTTCTGAGTCTTTCGCATGGGTACAGAGGCCCAAGCACTTGGGCCATCTTCCACTGCTTTCCCGGGCCATTAGCACAGGGAGCTGGATCCAAAGAGGAGCATCCAGGACTTCAGCAGTGCCCATATGCGATGCCAGTGCCGCAGGCATAGTTTCAGCCTGCTACACCACAGCGCTGGGCCCTTGAAATAATCTTATATTTCTTTAAACATAAATCTGGCCATTAATTAGAGTCCCCACTGCCAGCAATGAAGAAAAATGAAATTATTTCATCTACAAAATTATAGCTACTATGATATTGTTTTGATGTAAAGCCAAGCCTGACATTCAACTCCCTTGAAGCCCTGGCACTGAATCCTGCAGGCAAAGAAAGGCTCCAGGCACTGAAAACCATGGCCGGAGGTCCTACGGCTGCCCTGTCCCAGGCTGGGATGTGGGCAAGGACTGGCCGTGCCAGGCTCTTTTCAGATAGGCGCATCTCATGGGTCCACATTGCAGCCATCACCAAGGTACCAGATGGGGAATTGTCCCAAAATAGAGACACCTGGGCACAAAAGATATGGGAGATAATTTTTTGTAGACACCATTCTGCACATTTCCATCACATTTTCCTGTAATCCCATGGATCCGGAATGATTTCCTTCTGCCAGACCAAACTGGTCCCAGTCAAAACCAGCATCATGTGTGCGAGTCTGTCCAGTTCTTTTAGGGGAAGTGCAGCGTGGATTTGGGGATGGAAGTGTTTAGTGCTGGGTTTCTCCTAGGTCCCCAGCAGTTCGGTAGCCAGAGGAAAGGCTGAGGCCAGTGACCCAGGGCCACAAATCCTGGATAAGGCAAACTGAGCCTAGTGGGATTAAACGCAAGCAGAGCTAAGTGCTCCTGATAAGCTTGTGGGCAGCGCCCTCTGCTGGTGCCTTGACTTTAACACTAACGAAAGCCAGAGCGTTCCAGGATCACATCCCAGTAGAGGGGAGATGACGGAGGATGGGTGACTTCCCTTGCAGTTTTAGTCATCTTTTATTCTTGCCTACTGTCAAAGGGCAAAATTATAGCAAACTTCAAGATTTCAGCCTACTTGTATTTGCAATTCTAGAATCAGACAGCCCTCCGAACCATTAACAGAGGGAAGACAGAAGTGACTTAGAGAGGGAGCTTAGCTGGTTACTGCTCAGTTTTCCCAGTTTGAAGCAGCAGGATGCCTGCGACTGCCTGCAACCCAGTCTCTGTTGTTGACCGAGAGCCAGCAACTTGTTAGAGAAGCACGGCCCAAGTCAGGTGTTCAGTTATTCTGCATCTGTTAGGTAGAGTCGAGTACAGAAGCATCCTCCATCACTTTATTTATATATGTACTGCTGCAAGCTTGGAAGGCAAGAAAAACACTGGGTGTCAAAGACACACAAAAGTACACCAGGTATTGACCTTGGAATCCCACTATCAGAGAGGAACACGTTAGCAAATATTTCTCCAGCTATTTTCCTAGGCAGATAGGAGTAGATTGAATAGGTTGATACAATACACAGGTGTTCTCCCACTCACCATGATTCAACTTGGCATTCTTTGATTTTACAATGGTGTGAAAGTAATATGTATCCAGTGGAAACCATGCTTTGAATCTTGAATTTTTTTAGAAGATTTTATTTATTTGAGAGAGTTACAGAGGGAGGGAGAGGTCTTCCATCTGCTCATTCACTCTCAAATGGCTGCAATGGCCAGAGCTGTGCTGATCCAAAGCCAGGAGCCAGGAGCTTCTTCCAGGTTTTCCACGTGGGTGCAGGGGCCCAAGCACTTGGGCCATCTTCTGCTGCTTTCCCAGGCCGTCAGCAGGGAGTGGATCAGAAGTGGAGCAGCCGGGACTCGAAGCAGTGCCCATATGGGATGCTGGTGCTGCAGATGGAGCTGTAACCTATGCCACAGCGCCAGACCCAACTTATATTTTCTTAAAATATTTTCCATTTACAATGGGTGTATCAGGACATAAGTCATTGTGAGTCTGGGGCATCTGAGTTATATATGCTATATAATATATACAGTATAATACAGAAAGAGCATCTGGATCCCAACATAGTCATTTAAGAGCTTTGTGATGGTGAGCAAATTACCTGGCTTCTCTGTGTGTCAGTTTCCTGGTTTACAATGTGAGGATTGTAGTATTGTCTTACCAGGTTGTATGAAGAGAAAATGTGTTAATACATGTTCAGTACTTAGAACAGTGCCTAATACATAGAAAGTGCTCAGTAAATATTGACTAATGAGGCAGGCAGAATAAAGCCACCCCAGAAATTTCTACCATCCTAGTCCTTGGTACTTATGCACATATACTTATGCACATATAGCAAAAGGATCTTTGCAAATGTGATTAAGCTCAAGGATCTTAAGATGGGTAGGTTTTCCTGGGTGTTCACCTGAGTCCTGAAAAGCAGAACAGGGAGGTGGAAGAGTGGTGCAGACATGCAAATGAGGGAAGAGGAGTGCCGGTGTGAGGACCTCCTCCTGTCACTGCGGCCTGAAGACAGAGGAAGGGGACGTGAGCCAGGGGATGCAGCAGCCTCTGAAATCCAGGGATGGCTGACCATGCACTCCTTTCGTACTGGATCAGCGTGTCAGCCTCATTCTTGTCAACCCCCCCCAACCAGTGGGGACCCTTCTAGAATGGACTGATCATGAGAAAGGATACCTGATTCTTTGTTTTCCAAAACTGAAAAGCCTTGAAGAAACAATGAACTTGTTACTAATGATCTTCTGTTAATTTCATAGAATTCTACTATAGTGTAATACAATATTGAATTTTGAAAACCTTAACATGGATATTTCTTCAATTTATGAAATTGTAATGAAATAAAGAGTCTTCAAAAAAGTTAAAAAAAAAAAAAAAGGAAGGAACTCAGTCCTACAGCTTTAAGGAACTGAATTCTGGCAACAATCCAAATGGGCAGGAACTAGTTTCTCCCCTATAGCCTCCAAAAGAAGCATAGCCAGCTGGCACCCTGATGGTAGTCCAGTGATATTTGTTCCAGTTCTGAACTGCAGAACTGTGAGAAGATAAATGGATGTTGCTTAAAGCCACTAAGGATGTGGCAATTTGTCATGGCAGAAATTGAAAACTGGTAATACAGTGTTAAATACCAGAAGTGGGGTGCTGCTAAACAAAATATCTAAAAATGCAGAAATGACTTTGAAAATCAAGTACTGGGGGCAGAAGCCGGAAGAATTTTGAGGAGCATGATTTTTTTTAAAAAAGAAGAAGCCTAGATTGCTTTGAAAGGGCTGTTAGTGTGTGTGTGTGTGTGTGTGTGTGTGTGTCCCTCCCTCTCTCTGTCTTTCAAATAAATAAATCTTAAAAAAAAAAAAGGCTGTTAGAAACATGGATGTGAAAGACTGTCTGTAAGGGTTCAGGAGGCAACAGAGTTTATTACAGAGAAAAGTGAAATCACCTAAATGGTCATAAAGAGGTTAACGGCAGAACTCCGGACTTTAAGGATGCAGCTGGTGAGGATCCAGGTAGAACTGAGAAGATGATTAGGAGCCAGAAGGAAGGGGATTCTTAGCTCAATGGAACTGTGCCCAGCAGTTAAGTGGGAAGCAGAACTTGTAGGCAATGAACTTGAATATTTAGCTGAGGAGATTTCCGAGCAAGGTGTTGAAGGTGCAGCCTGGTTTCTTTGTCGTGCCTGTAATTAAAGGCAAGAGGAGACCAATACGTTGAGGGAATGAATGTGCAACAAAAGGAGCCCGGATGCGATGATTTGGGTAATTCTTGGCCTACTTATAGGACAAAAGATACCAAGTTTAAGAGGTTCCCTGTCAGAAACATAAAGTGAAAAATAATAGATGATTTTTTTTTAAATGATGATGAAATCAGATCAGACCTATTGTCATGTTTAATCCCAGTGAGAGTCAAGTTGGGAATTGATAATTTCTTTCTTTCTTTTTTTTTTTTTTTTTACAGAAGATCAGTTTAGTGTACATTAAGTAAAGATTTCAGTCGTTTGCACCCCCATAGAAACACAAAGTGAAATATACTGTTTGAGTACTCGTTATAGCATTAAGCCTCAGTGTACAGCACGTTAAGGACAGAGATCCTACATGAGGAGTAAGTGCACAGTGACTCCTGTTGTTGACTTTACCAATTGACACTCCTGTTTATGGCATCAGTAATCTCCCTATGCACCAGTTATGAGTTTCCAAGGCTATGGAAGCCCCTTGAGTTCTCCGACTCTTATCTTGTTTAGACACGGTCATAGTCAAAGTGGAGGTTCTCTCCTCCCTTCAGAGAAAGGCACCTCCCTCTTTGAAGACCTGTTCTTTCCACTGGGATCTCACTCACAGAGATCTTTTTGCCAGAGTGTCTTGGCTTTCCATGCCTGAAATACTCTCATGGGCTTTTCAGCCAGATCCGAGTGCCTTTAGGGCTGATTCTGAGGCCAGAGTGCTATTTAGGACATCCGCCATTCTATGAGTCTGCTGAGTATCTCACTTCCCATGTTGGATCACTCTCCCCTTTATTTATTCTATCGGTTGGTGTTAGCAGATACTAGACTTGTTTATGTGCTCCCTTTGACTCTTAGTCCTTTCATTATGATCAATTGTGAACTGAAATTGATCACTTGGAGTAGTGAGATGGCATTGGCACATGCCACCTTGATGGGATTGAATTGGAATCCCCTGGTATGTTTCCAACTCTACCAAATGGGGCAAGTCAGCCCGAGCATGCCCCAAATTATACATCTCTTCCCTCTCTTATTCCCACTCTTATGTTTAACAGGGATCACATTTCAGTTAATTTTCAACACTTAAGAATAACTGTGTGATAATTACAGAATAAAACCAGTCATATTAAGTAGAACAGACAAAAAAAAAAAAAAAAAAAAAAAGAGGTTCCCTGTCAGAAACTTGTTCCTTAGAGAAAGAGCCAGGAGTGTGGCTGGATACCTTTTGGCTATTACCTTCAGGAGATGGAAAGTTCTGAATATTCAGTCACACAAAACACTATCTTTGGAGGTTTAGGTGTGACGACTCCTCCTGGCCACCTCAGCAGAAGTCAAAAATAAAGAGACTTCTTAGATCTGTGGATGAGCCTTTAGTCTAATTGAGCGAAGCCCCGTTGTAGGCATAACTCATGGAATCCTGGAAAATGTTACACCAGCAGAGACATTGTCCACTTGGACCTGAAGGGACAGAAGAATATGAGGAGTGGGCACTTAGCCTAGTGGGTGAGATACTCACATCCCACGTTATAGACAGGTTTTGAGAACAATGTGCAGGCTACACTCTCCGTCAGAACACAAAGCCCGACAGATGACTTCCAAAATTCCAGCTGACTTTTCTACCCTCAGTGTGGATTTGGGTTCATTAACAGTTACCTTCAATTCGTCTCTGATCTCAGACCCTTTGTGACTTCTGATGAGCTCAGGCAAATATGTCCAAAACTGTAGCTTATTGGACTGGACCACAAATTTCTCAAGGTGTGCTTCAATGTGGCAGTTTATCTCATGCTTCAGGAACAATACACAGGGTCTTCAAAAGGCTCATGGAAATGTATATTATCTTTTGCAAAAATTTCTTGAAAGGCAGAGAGATATGAAGGGCTCCTTTCTGCTGTTCATTCTCCAGATGCCCAGAGCTGGGAACTCAATCCAGGTCTCCCCTGAGGGTAGCAGGGAAACCAAGCACTTGAGCCATCACCTGCTGCCTCCCAGGGTGTGCATTAGCAGGAAGCTGGACAAAGCCGGGATTCCAATCTGATACAAGTGTCCACCCAGCAGCTTAACTATGAGGCCAAACTCCTGCCCCAGCACCTGATCTTTTTTTTAATTAATTTATTTATTTGAAAGGCAGAGTTATAGAGAGGCAGAGGCAGAGAGAAAAAGAGAGGTCCTCCATCCGCTGATTCACTCCCCAGATGGCTGCAACAGCCTGAGCTGGGCCGATCCAAAGCCAGGAGCCAGGAGCTTCTTCCAGGTCTCCCATGTGGGTACAGGGGCCCAAATGTTTCCCTGAAACTCTTCCACTGCTCTCCCAGGCCATAGCAGAGAGCTGGATTGGCAGTGGAGCAGCCGGGACTCGAACCGGTGCCCATATGGGATGCCGGCACTGCACGTGGTAGCTTTACCCGTGATGCCACAGCGCCGGGCCCAGTACATGATCTTTTAATTCCATTTTCCCATAAAATTTGTGGCATGCCTGCATATCCAACAATAATAATGAAGTCAGTAACCTCGCTTTAGCACAAATGGTAAGGGTTCCCCAGTTCAAGCCAGAGAAGAGCCACCTTGGAACCTCCCAGGCACTGTTAAATATGCACTGCCTGGACCCAGTCCTAGAGCGGTTTGTGGGTGAACCTGGGCATCGGCATTTTCATGCAGCTTCCCCAGATGGTCTCTGAACTCCCCCAGCAGCTGTCAGTGACCTTGCTGTGGCTGCTCTGGTATTCCCAGCACCCTGAAGGTCACAGGTCTTGCACAGAACACGTGAGATTATCACCACCATGATTTAGTAGTCTGCTCTGACTTCCTGGGGGAGCTGAGCTGGGGGGAGGGGGAGGGCGCCTATGGACCTCCTGAGTCTCCTCTGGCTCCCAGGCTATCTGCTCATACAGGGATACCCTATGTCACCCATGAGACAGGAAGGCCTCTGTCATGGGCAGCGGCTTCTGGAGCTTCCACCTGAAATGGCCCTCGCGTCTCTTGGCGAATCCAGATCTCGAAACCCTTCCAGAGCTAATGGCTTCATCATGCTGCACCGTGTGTGCGTGTCTGTCTTTGCAGAAAGAAGAAACGTACCCTCGTGGTGGACCCCTCGAGCAACGTGTACTACCGCTGGCTGACCGCCATCGCCCTGCCCGTCTTCTATAACTGGTGTCTGCTGGTGTGCAGGTAATGAGGAGGGCGGGGCAGCCAGGCCTGGAAGACAGAGCTCCGCGTGCCGGTTCTGGTCCCCTCACGGCCACCATAGAGCTCTTGTGCTTCACTTTCCCCACCTAGAAAATCAGAGAGCTAGTGAGATAATGGCAGGGAACTGAGCTTGACCTTGACAGTGGGGTCTGGCACTCGGGCTTCCTTGAGCAAGCAGTGCCAGTGCCGGGGCCACAGGGACAGGTTGCTGCGCTGCCGAGGGGCGGAGCGATCTTTCTGAGCACGTGCCGGGGGGGGGGGGGGGGGGCGGAACATGGCGAGAGGACACTGGTCTTGGGTGTAAGCTGTGGTTTGGGGCAGGGTCCGCTGCTCCTCTTTTGCGAATAGACGTGAGCTTTGGAGAGGCTGCTAGGCAGGCAGCTACTTCGAAGGTGCACAGGAGCCTGCTGCCTGTCTGGAGGCGGCAGCCACCCAGAACCTTCCTAAGCGAGCTGCAGACTGGAGACTAGGGGGAACCGCTACTGTTCTGATAAGCAGGAGGAGGGTTTTGCCCTCTCCTAGAAAACCTGCAAGCTGCGAGTGCCAAGGCAAAATGCTGCTGCCCCAGGGGGAGGCAGGGGGTTGGGGATTTCCTGGGCATTCCTGCCGGGCTGGGTACCAGCGGGAGCTGTGTTCCCCAGGGGGCCTTTGGAGCATTCCTGGGCATGCTGCCTGACCAGGCTGTGGGACGAGCGATGTGGCACACTTCTGAGAAAGCCTGCAGCAGGCTGCAGGGTGCAGCGAGGGTCTGAGCTGCCACTCTTCCCGAGGCTCCCAAGGGGCTGGGGAGCCCGCCATTCCTAGCAGGCCTGCAGGACAGTAAGGCAGGCTTGGCTGCTCCTGTCCTGAGGGCATGCGCTGTGCGGGCGGGCGGGCGTGCATTCCTAAGCTCCTTTGCAGGGCAGGTGCTCAGAAGCAGGTGGCTGCTCCGCTGAGGGGAAGCCGAGCAGCTTGGGAGCTTCTGAGATGCAACTCGGGAAGGGGCAGTGCCTTCGGGGCCTTCCTGAGCCCATACGAGGATGCGGGGGCTTGTGAGAGGAGGAGGAGGCTTTGCGGTTTTCCTGCGCGAGCCTGCACGACGGAGAGCCGCTGCTTTGAGCGGCTGGGCGCTGTGTTTGGGGATATTCCTGGTCCAGCGGCGTGACAGGTGCAGAGGAGACCTGAAGCTGTCTCAGTGGCAGCAGACGCTTTTGGGGTGACAAAGGATGACCCCTGCTCCTCTGAGGGTTTGCGGGACAGGTAGAAAGGAGGAGAAGGAAGGCATTTCCTTGGTGAGCAGGCAGGATGAAGATGTACAGGGCGAGTGGGGCTCTGGGGATGCGGGCGTGAGCTGCTGTTCTGCAGGTGGCCGGCAGATGTCGCGTTGCTGGCAAGCTGCAGCGGGGACTGGGGCGCTCCTGGGGCTGGCTGCTGCTCTCTTGAGGCAAGAAGCTCTGTCTAGCCTCTGTGGGTTCTGTCTGTGTGAGGAAGAGCAAGCAAGCATAAAGGTCTAGAAGGTAGAAAATATCGACTGGCTCATTCAATCGTTATTCTCCCAGAAAGTTCATGTTTCTGTAGGAATTTGACCCCAGAAAGGGCAGATCTTTAGCCCCTTGACACGACTCTACCTAAAAAAGGTGGCGACTACTGCTAAGGTGTCTGGTCGCCCTGGAGCAGCCCCAGTGCCCACTGTTGGGGGTCAACCCGGCTCTTCTTGTGACCATGGAACAGAGAAGCTGCCAGAGCCTGGGCCTGCCCCTCAGGGGCCTGAGGTGTTCACGCTGGGGTAGGGACACTGCAGGCCACGCTGTGACTTCGTGACATGAGCCAGTGCCGGCAGCACAGGACTGGTGCCTCACAGGCTCTGTCCCTGCTCCAGGCCCACGCTGTCTGTCTCACGTCTCACGTTTGCCTGGTTTAGGGCCTGTTTCGATGAACTTCAGTCTGACTACCTGATCCTGTGGCTGGTCCTGGACTACTCGGCGGATGTCCTGTATGGCTTGGACATACTGGTGCGAGCCCGGACAGGTGAGTGTGTGTCCACCCAGGCACTTCTCTGGGCCAGGCCACGGACCTTTAGGAAAGGGGCCATGGGGAGGGCAGGAGTGTTTGGAAAGATCTGGAATCGTAGACTGGACATTACCTAGCCTTGGCCGTGAGAAGCCAGACAGGTCTGGGGATCCTTCCACGCGAGGGTGGGTGATGCCACCTCATGCCCCTCTAGGCTGGACCCACAGACAGGACTTTGAACAGGAATCAGGACACATGGGCCCTGGGCTTTGCTGTGTGACCTTGGGTACGTCCAGAAGCCCGCCCACACCTTAGGCTCCTAGCTGTACACCCAGGACACCCATGAGTGCTGCTTTTCTTCTCCAAGAATTTTTTAAGTTAAAACATACAGAAATATGTCCATAGACACAGACAGAGAGAGGGAGAGAGAATCTTCTAGCCACTGATTCCCTCCACAGATGCCCACCACAGCCAGGGAATGGCCCAAGTCAAAGCCAGAGCCAGGCACTCCATCCAGGTCTGCCTCACAGGTGGCCGGAATCTGAGTATTGAACCTTCAATGTGGCCTCCAAGTGCAGCCCAGCAACAGCAGCACCTGGGGCTTGTTAGTTGGGCCTCTGGCCTTGGGGCTCAGCTTCCTGGGGAGGCTCCAGCTCTTAGTATTTCTGCTACCTCCTAGGGTCTGCACTGGCAGGAAGCTGGAGTTAGGAGCTACAGCTGGGGCTCCAACCCAGCGACTCTGATACGGGACGCAGGTGCCTTTTGTTTGTTTGTTTGTTTATTTTTTGTTTTTTTGACAGGCAGAGTGGACAGAGAGAGAGACAGAGAGAAAGGTCTTCCTTTGCCGTTGGTTCACCCTCCAATGGCCGCCGCGGCCGGCGCACCGCGCTGATCCGATGGCAGGAGCCAGGTACTTATCCTGGTCTCCCATGGGGTGCAGGGCCCAAGCACTTGGGCCATCCTCCACTGTACTCCCTGGCCACAGCAGAGAGCTGGCCTGGAAGAGGGGTAACCGGGACAGAATCCGGCGCCCCAACCGGGACTAGAACCCGGTGTGCCAGCGCCGCAAGGCGGAGGATTAGCCTAGTGAGAAGTGCCTTAACCTCTAGGCCAGATGCCTGCCCCTCTTCTAAGATTTTGCAACTCAAAACCATGCCATAGTTGTCCATGTAAGAACCACCAGGTCACAGCGGCAGAGCTCAGCGTGCCTCACGGAGGAGCAAGTGTTCCTGGCACATCTGGCATTCTCCGTACTGCGTGATCCAAGAAACACGGACCTGGTTATTGCTATCTTGGCCAGAGACACTGAGTGACTTAACCCAAGTCCGCAGTCTCTCCCAAGCGATGCGAGAGGCTCCCATCTACTTCCACACTGTTGCTTTGTGTGGCAACTTAGGAGACCTTGAATATACGGCTGGAAGCTTGCGTGAGTGACCTAGCCAGTCCAAGCAGTCTGCCACTCGGCCGAGGTCACCTTAGCTCTTGGACACAAGAGCCATTGGGCCACCTGTCCCCGGGCTCAGCCAGGCTTCAGTGGGACAAGATACTCTAACTTTGATATGGACTCCCCGCCAATTCGTGCATAGGTGCTGTCCTCAGCAAACAGAAGCATCTGAAAGCTGGGGGGAGGTAGGGAGGTATGGACCCCGGATGGCCATGGAAAGACCCCAAGGGAAAAAATTGCCAGGATTGAGCAGACATTTTAAAGTTACAGTGAGGACTGCCAAGGCTCATGGAGATATGTACAGTCAGCACTCCCTATCTGCAGGTTCCACGTCCACAGATTCAACTAATTGCGTCTTGAAAATCAGAAAAATGCCATCTGCACTAAACATGCGCAGACTTTTTTTTCTTGTCATTCTTTAAATATTATAGCAATTATTTGAATTGTATTGACTATGATAAAGGTGATTTAAAGTGTATGGGAGGAATGCATAGTTTATATCCAAATACTTCAATGCCATTTTATTTATTTTTAAAAAGATTTATTTTATTTTTATTTAATGAGGAGAGTGAACAAAAGAGGGAGGAACAAGAGAGACAGAGAGAGAGAGAGAGAGAACGCACCTGCATCTGCTGGTTCACACCCCAATGGTTGCAACAGCCAAGGCTGTACCAGGCCAAAGCCAGAAGCCAGGAACTCTATCCAGGTCTCCCATGTTGGTGGCAGGAGCCCAAGCCCTTGGACAATCCTCTGCTGCTTTCCCAGGTGTATTAGCAGGGAGCTGGATTGGAAGCAGAGCAGCCAGGACTCAAATCAGCATTCCAATATGGAATGCCAGCATCCCAGGCAACGGCTTAACCTACTGCCCCACAATGCTGGTCCTGACGATGCTATTCTATCTAAGGGTCTGGAGCACCCAGAGAATTTGGTATCTGAAGGGTCCTGGAACCCCTATGGATAAAAAGGGATGACTTCATAACAAAAGAGTGGCACACGAAATAGGATGTGGTGTCCCTTATGTGTGACAACAAACTTGATTTTCCATTTTAGCGGGGCAGCAGTCCACGTGTGGTGTGGCCTCCGAGCGCAGCCCTGGGCTGGCAACAGCAGCACGTGGGGCTTGTTAGCTGGGCCTCAGGCCTTGGGCTGGCATTCTGGATAGAGCCCACCTCTTAGTGTTTCTCAGAGCCCTCCCCGTGATTCTGATGCTCACCAAAAAGCACTCATTACATTCTCCTCTCAACTTCCATGCATGCTTGAAAATGTAAAAAAATAAAATAAAAAGGAAGAAAGAATGCAGGCCATAGCCCTGGGTTGACTTCATGAGTCAGAATGGCCAGCCCATCTCGAGACCAGTCTGATGCTTCAGAGGTGGGTGCCTGACTTGGGAAGTTTTGGAAGCTCCTTGGGTTGCAGTTGTGTCACCTGAAAGGAGAGCACAGTGTTTCAAGAAGGTGGGTCTTTGCTCCACTAGTGACTGCTGGTATCAATTCAAGCCATGACCTGTATTTTTTTTTTTGGACAGGCAGAGTTAGACAGTGAGAGAGAGAGACAGGGAGAGAGGTCTTCCTTTATAGTTGGTTCACCCCATAATGGCTGCTGCGGCTGGAGGCGGAGGATTAGCCTAATGAGCCGCGGCGCCAGCCTATGACCTGTATTTTTGAAAAAAATTAAAATTAAAAAATTTTCAAATACACACAAGAGCAGCAAAAATAATATTGTGAACACCCCCTGACCCTCACCCATCTTCAATCATCACCAACACTTTGCTCATCTTGTTCTGTCTGTCCTCCTGCCTGGAATATTTGAAAACAAATCCCAGGCACTAAACCCTTAGCATGCATCTCTAACTTTAATAGATGGTTTTCAAAAATATATGGATGGCCTGCGGCACACCGGATTCTAGTCCTGGTCGGGGCGCCGGATTCTGTCCCGGTTGCCCCTCTTCCAGGCCAGCTCTCTGCTGTGGCCCGGGAGTGCAGTAGAGGATGGCCCAAGTGCTTGGGCCCTGCACTCCATGGGAGACCAGGAGAAGTACCTGGCTCCTGCCATCGGATCAGCGTGGTACACCGGCCGCGGCGGCCATTGGAGGGTGAACCAACGGCAAAGGAAGACCTTTCTCTCTGTCTCTCTCTCACTGTCCACTCTGCCTGTCAAAAAAAAAATATATATATATATGGATGTCTTCAATTTCATTTCTCCTTTAAATTTTAATCATTCATTGCTACCATCTAATACCTAATCCATATTCAAAGCTCGCCAATGGATCTGCGTTGTTTTTAATGAATAAATTTGAGAATCATAGAATAGGAAATTTGAGTGCCTTTCCTATAATAATAGTAAGTCTTTTGGGGGGACTTGTTTCTCTTGTATATAGGAAGGATTATCCAAAAGTTCATGAAAAATGCATTTTGCAAAACCTGTGCATGGCTTTTGAAAAATGTTTGCACCAAAATAAACTTACCTTTTAATTCCATTTTGCACAGAATTTTTTTGCAGTCCCCTCGTATGCTTGATACAAAATGTCTTTTTCTGATCAAAAGTGTAATCTCTCTGATGCCCATGGGACCTGCACCTTCTTCCCTAGGCTTCCTCGAGCAAGGCTTGATGGTCAGCGATGCCGACAGGCTGTGGAAACACTACACGAAGACCTGGCACTTCAAGCTGGATGTGCTGTCCCTGGTGCCCACAGACCTGGCTTACCTAAAACTGGGCGTGAACTACCCAGAACTGAGGTTCAATCGCCTTCTGAAAATCTCCCGGCTCTTCGAATTCTTTGACCGCACCGAGACGAGGACCAACTACCCCAACATGTTCAGGATTGGGAACCTGGTCTTGTACATCCTCATCATCATCCACTGGAACGCGTGCATCTACTTTGCCATCTCCAAGTTCATAGGTTTCGGGACAGACTCCTGGGTCTACCCAAACATCTCCAAGCCAGAGTACGGGCGTCTCTCCAGGAAGTACATTTACAGCCTCTACTGGTCCACCCTGACCCTGACCACCATCGGGGAGACCCCACCCCCTGTGAAGGACGAGGAGTATCTCTTCGTGGTCGTCGACTTCCTGGTGGGAGTGCTGATTTTCGCCACCATCGTGGGCAACGTGGGCTCCATGATCTCCAACATGAACGCCTCGCGGGCAGAGTTCCAGGCCAAGATCGACTCCATCAAACAGTACATGCAGTTCCGCAAGGTGACCAAGGACTTGGAGACGCGCGTGATCCGGTGGTTTGACTACCTGTGGGCCAACAGGAAGACGGTGGATGAGAAGGAGGTGCTCAAGAACCTCCCAGACAAGCTGAAGGCCGAGATCGCCATCAACGTGCACCTGGACACCCTGAGGAAGGTGCGCATCTTCCAGGACTGCGAGGCGGGGCTGCTGGTGGAGCTGGTGCTGAAGCTGCGGCCCACCGTGTTCAGCCCCGGCGACTACATCTGCAAGAAGGGGGACATTGGGAAGGAGATGTACATCATCAAGGAGGGCAAGCTGGCCGTGGTGGCCGACGACGGCGTCACCCAGTTCGTGGTTCTCAGTGACGGCAGCTACTTTGGGGAGATCAGCATCTTGAACATCAAGGGGAGCAAGTCCGGGAACCGCAGGACGGCCAACATCAGAAGCATCGGCTACTCCGACCTGTTCTGCCTCTCCAAGGATGACCTCATGGAGGCCCTCACCGAGTACCCGGAGGCCAAGAAGGCCCTGGAGGAGAAGGGGCGGCAGATCCTGATGAAAGACAACCTGATCGACGAGGACGTGGCCAAGGCCGGGGCGGACCCCAAGGACATCGAGGAGAAGGTGGAGCACCTGGAGTCCTCCCTGGACACCCTGCAGACCAGGTTTGCACGGCTGCTGGCTGAGTACACCGCCGCCCAGATGAAGGTGAAGCAGCGTCTAAGCCAGCTGGAGAGGCAGGTGAAGACCCACGGCGGCGGCCATCCGTGGGACGCCGAGGCTCCCGGGGATGCAGACACAGAGGACAAAGCACAGTGAGGGCCAGCATTGTGGCGCAGCGGGTTAAGCCGCCACTTGTGACCTGGCAACCCACGTAGGAGTGCTGCTCCGCCTCCCCTCCAGCTCCCTCCTAACGCACCTGGGAAGGCGGTGGAAGACGCCCCAAGGGACCATCGCATGGAAGACCCAGGTGCAGTTCCTGGCTTCAGCCTTGGTTGGTGTGGCCGCTTGGGGAGTGAACCTGTAGATGGAAGAAGATATCTCTTTCTTTCTCCCTCTTTCTCTGTCTCTGCCTTTCAAATATATATATAAATCTTAACACATGCACACACACATGTACACATATACACATGCACACACACTGTGTACGTGCACACACACACAGGATCTTGGTATCTGTGTCCTGCTGCACATCCCAGCTGCCAGTGTGACGTTCTGTGGCTGCAGCTGCACAGCACAGGCCATGGCCAGGAGTATATTCCAGTACCTTCTACTCACCCTTCACAAACGGTGTGGCCATAAGACGGAGCCTCAGTTTCCTAGCCCTACTGAAAGGCTGGGCTGTGGCAGGGCCCCAGGAAACACTGCCTGAGGCAGGGCTCTGTAGGCTGTGGAGTATCCTCAATTCCAGTCTATGCAAGTAGGCAGGCAGGTTATTTTTTATGGAATTCACCAGGAGTGAGTTTAGGCTTTTGAAACCCAATTTTCTTATAAATAAAAGATTAGTCACCTTCTCCCTCCCCAACATCATTTTCCTAACATCTGACTGTGGAGCTATAGTAGGAAGTGGGAAGTACAATGTAGCAACTCAAATCAACTTCACACGTAACAGTTTGGGGCATACCAGTATGCATGGACTCCACTGGTTTTTTTTGTTGTTGTTTTTGTTTGTTTGTTTTGCATCAAAATCAACTTCTCTTTAATTCCATGTTTCCATGGACATTCGAAAGCTCCCTTGTATCTCCGAGTCCGGTTTCTCCTGGTGTGTTCTTCAGAACCCCGGAAGCCCAGGCCCTCAGGGGTTCCCCTCTGAGGTCCCTCCACGTCTGTGAAGCGGACCTGGAGCCCTGCCATTCTGCCCCCTTGGAGCCAGAATCTGCTTCCTAGAAGAGTGTTAGGGGAAGAGACACCTGCTCCTTCCCCCTTGCCAAAGGGGCACAAGGACACTGTCTACCCTCCCGCTTGGGTCAGGGCCCCCGAGGTGCGCCAGGCCTCGACCCAAGTGGAGAGCTGTGTCCAGGCAGAGCTCTGAAGTCGGAGGCTTGAATGGTGTCTGAGGCCCACGTCAGCCACAGCTGGGGCCATTTCTAAGACAAGGCCTGGACGCCAGGTGTTTGCCAACGTCCCTTCACCCCTGTAGAAGAAGCCCCAGGCTCCCTTGGAATTTCATCCCAAGGCAAAGCTCTTAGCTAGGTGAATGCTTGCAGAATGCAGAAAGCAGCTGTGTTTTAATCCAGTCAATAGGATTCCATTAAAATTGTATAATAGAGGTATAAGCCTGGGTTTTATGGTTGCAAACTATGACCTTGTTCCATCCTCTACTTAGGTACATGTTGCAAATTAGGCACAGATGAGAATTTCCCATACTCCTTTTCTCTTTTTATCTTCGTCTCTCTCTCTCTGCCTGCTGTCTTTCCTCCCCTGCTCTCCCTGCCCCACTCCTCATTCTTCTTTTTTCTCATGAAACAAATTCCCTACTGAACTTCGACAAGTTGAAGGCCCCAAGGTCTGATGTTACACTGCATATGCTACACGACTGAGCCCTGCTGTAGTTCCCGCAAAAGGTGCCGCATTTGCCATGATGTATTTTGCATTTATGTGGGTCTCTTCTTGTGTATAGTGTGGGCCATTGACTATTTAATGTTTTGGATGGATTAAAAGATCTGTTAAAGGTTATAGATTCAGATGCATATCATCAGCAAAATGTAACTAGCAATGTTCCTTCAAAATGCATCTCTTTGAAAAGCCTTAACTATTCATTATACCTGCATTTTTGTTTGCACAGGAAAAAATAAAGGCCTGGATTAAGAAATATGACTCTTGCTTGAGCTTTTGTCCTAAGGGAAGATTCAGTCCCAGGATGTATATCTAGGGTAGTGCGGGGAGACACCAGCCAGAAGCAGGTGAGACAATGCACATTTAAGGATTCCCAAAACACTTGTGGAAGGGCCACCACTGTGGCTCAGTGGGTTAAGCCACCACTTGTGACACTGGCATTCCATATGCGAGTACTGGTTTACCAGTCATGTGGGAGATCCGGATGGAGCTCCTGGCTCCTGGCTTTAGCTTGGCCAAGCCCTGGCTGTTGCAGCCCATCCCACTCCATCTGTCTGCCTCTCAAATAAGTAAATATTTTAAAAATTGCAATGACGTGAACAAGGAATTATTATATATTCGGCATAGCATTGTAATAGCAAAAATTGTTTTTAAAATAATTGCTAGTACTTCAGAAAGACTTACCTATATATGAAGTGGAAAAGCATATATAATATTCCAATTTTGAAATGTTATATACATAGAGAAAAGACTGAAAAAGTATAGTTTCTAAATCTCTAAAGACTCTTTTTTGTTTTCTTTTTGTGACTTTTTAATTTCTCTAAGGAATATTTATTTTGGTGGGGGGGGATGTGGCACTGTGCTGTAGTAGACTAAGCCTCCACCTGCAGCATTGACATCCCAATGGAGCAGCGGATCCCAGCTTCTCCATTTCCAATCCAGCTCTCTTCTATGGCCTGGAAAGGCAGTGGAAGCTGGCCCAAGTGCTTGGGCCCCTTCACCCATGTGGGAGACCCAGATGAAGCTCCCGGCTCCTGGCTTCCAGTCGGCCCAGCTCTGACTGATGCAGCCATTTGGGGAGCAAACCAGCAAATGGAAGACCTTGCTTTCTGTCTGTAACTCTGTCTCTCAAATAAAACAAATAAAAAATCTTTAAAAATATGTATTTTTTAAAAAGATTTATTTATTTGAAAGGTGGAACTACAGAGAGGGAGAGGCAGTGGCAGAAAGAGATCTTCCATCCGCTGGTTTACTCCCAAAAGACACAGTGGCCAGGGCTAGGCTGAGCCAAAGCCAGGAACCAGTCTCCCGCGTAGGTGCAGGGGCCCAAGCACTTGGGGCATCTTCGGCTGCTTTCCCAGGCCATTATCAGGGAGCTGGATGGGAAGTGGAGCAGCCAGGACTTGAATCAGTGCCCACAGGGGTGTTGACACTGCAGGCAGTGGCTTAACACCACAGCACCAGCCCCTATGTAATACATTTATGATAGAAACTTCATGGATATTTTTTAGGAATCTAGAAAGATGGTACCAGAGGCAGTGTAGATTTTTTGTTTCATTTTTGTATCTCTCCAAATCCTCCCATAAAAACACAGCAAGTAGCAAAGCAAAGTTAAAGATGCATGGGCAACATCTGAGACCCCTGAGAACAGAACTCCCAGCTCGCCAACAGGTGATTGGAAACAGGTGACTGAAAACCATGGCGGCTGGAACGGAGGGGGACTGGCAGGCTCCACTTCGTAGATGAGAGCAAGGTGACAGTGATGCACAAGGCTGATGTGCTAGGATCCTCCAGGCACTGTCAACTCTAGATGTGAGCAGAATGCAGCTTCCTTCTTTTGATGAATGTCTATCCGGGTCCTTTGCACATTTTAAATTGAGTTTGTTTACTCTTGAATTGAATTCCTTATGTAGCTCGAATATGAATACCATATCAACTTGGGGTTTGCAAAGAGTTTCTCCCATTCTGTACGTTGTCTCTTCCCTCTGGCTGTTTCTTGGGCTGTGCAGAAGCTTTTTAGTTTAATTCCATTTTTTTCTATTTGTGCTTTCGTTGCCTGTGCTTTTGCGTTCACATCCAAACAATGATTCTCCAGACCGGTGTCGTGAGAATTTTCTCCTGGACTAAAAGACGCTTCCTTCGAAGCACGGTTAACCTCTGCACAGAGCTCAGGAGAGCTGAGATGAAAGAGGGAGCAGTGGAGGGGGTCTCTGACAGCACTTGCCATTCGTGCTTGTCCTCCGTGTAGAGCCCTCCTCTCCTTTCTAGTGAGATCCTTTTCCGTCATTGATAAAAAGGAATCTCACATAAAACAGACAGCAGTAGTCTGTCAGCCAAACTTTATAGAAAGTAAACCTTGAGTTTATGTAATGTGAAGACAGCATTTTGATCCATAGTATTTCTAAATTAATTTTGGAAAATGCCCGTAGAGCCCACCCAGTCACTACTCAGAATGAGGCCCCTTTACCCACAGCATCAGCATGACTTGGGACCATGTTAGAGAAATGCAGAATCTTAGGCCCACCTCAGACTTATTTAATGTGCATTTTAAAATTAATTACTATATTAATCAATACACTTATTTATTTGAGTGACAGGGGGAATGAGAGAGAGAGAGAAAGAGAAAGAGAAGCTCTCACCCACTGGTTCATTCCTCAAATGCCCAACTCTAAGCCAGGAGCTGGGAACTCTATCTGGTCTCCCACACTGGTGCAGAGACCCAGGTACTTAAACCATCACCTGCTGCCTCCCAGGGTGCACGTTAGCAGGAAGCTAGAGTCACGAGTCATGGTCATGAACTGAACCCAGTACTCTGATGTGGGACATGGGTGTCTTAACTGCTGGGCTGAAGGCTTGATCCCAGAATCTGAATTTGACAAGACCCCAGGGATTGGGTTGTACATTAACGTTCTGTCTGCAAGTATGTTGTCTGACTGTTTCCAAGTTAACACCTAGAGCAATGGGGTGGTGCATGTAAAACGTTATTTGGATGATTAAAATGTAACAGGATAATAACAGCCTTGTTGTCAACCATCCCATTGTAGAAACAGCATCTGGGGGCATTCCTACCAGCCTTCGTGATGGCTCACCCGAGGGTGGTGTTGTCATGACTCAAAGGCGTAGGCCCTGTGATCGAGTCGTGATGTGAACTTGGACTTATATGCCTGGTGTGGGTACCACCGTCAGCCTCTTCTGATGCTAGAAGTGTAACTTCTCACCTGTGATGCTGTCAGAAGCCACTCTGGAAAAATTCTTCCAGCCACCAGATGTGTAAAATTGTAAGCAGTTCTCATCAACACCCAGTTAGATGGAATATATGTCATGAATGTCCTTGGTAATGTAATCAGTACATTTTTAAGTACATTATAATTCTTGTCTTTTGATGAGAATCACCTGATGTTAATCAGAACTCCTGTGTGTTTTGTGGGGTGAGCATTCAATGCAGCAATGAAGCCTCCCCTTAGGATACTCACATCCCATATTGGTACCTGGTTCAAGTCCCGGCTCCTCTTCCAACTCCAGCTTCCTGTCAATTCACACTCTGGGAGGCTTCCCCAAATGTAACAGCAATCCTAAATATTTACAAAAGTTTACCAATAATAAGGTTATCAAGCTAAAGGAAACCTTCTAAGCTATCAATCATAATAATAGAACACAAATACACACACACAATTTGGGGTCATCTATTCAAGAAGCACAAAATTGCCTTTCTGTTTTGCTTTCAAAAATTATAGGGAGGTGAGCATTTGGCACAGCTGTTAAGAGACTTCTTAGGATGCCCCCATTCCATACTGGAGTGTTTGGGTTTGAGTCTTGGTTCTATTTCCCATTCTCTATTTCTGCTAAGGCACACCTTGGGAGGTAGCAGATAATGACTCAAATACTTGGGTTCCTGCCACCCATTTGGGAGGCCTGGATTGAATTTCAGGATCCTAGCTTTAGCCTAGCCCAGCCCTGGTTGTTGCAAGCATCTGAGGAGTCAACCAGCAGATGGGAGATCTCTTTGGTTCTTTCTGCCTCTGAAGCAAATAAAAATTTTAGAAATTGTATGGATTGTTGCAATATGAAGAAATTGATCTGAGTAGGCAGCCAGAAAATGTAGCATATCCACCAGTTGAGTAGTAAAACAGTAATAAAATACCAATAAAATATTGTTGGGGATTTTCTAATATTTATGATTTTAAATTTGTATTACATTGTGATTTTTCTCATTCTAACTACTTTTGTTGATGGTTTTGCTTTGGCATTAACAAACAACCCTCCAAGTGTGTAACCCTTGGGCTCCCCAAATCCTGCACCCTGCCTTAGTACTGTACCCTTCCATGCTTTCTAACCTTGAGTTTGTTGTAATGGGAAGATGTGCACTTAAATCCTTAGGCCAGGTGTCTAGAAACTGAAACTAAGTGACAGGCAGACATCAGACATCTGTGCTAAGATAGCTTCGTTAATGTGGTGCTTTCAAAGGCTCGTGCAGATGAGAAGTTAAACTTCAAAATCTGAACATTACAATCCACCATGTTTCTAAATCATGAGGTTAGTGGTTAGAAATCAGAGAAACGAACAGTGAAACCACGCCCTGGCTGACTACCAAGAATGTAAACGAGAACAAACAAGCTGGAGAATTTCCTTAATCAGCAACTCACAACGAGAACTCATGTTCTGAGCCCCAAGAGGCCAGAGATATCGGGGTGAAATGGGAGTGCCTGCACCCAGGAATGTGGTGCCACTGGCTGGGATTTTATCGGACTTCTGTTTAGATTACAGGGCTCCCTGCCATCCCGTTCCCTGAAATATGATGATCATTATAGAAAAGAGGGCTTTGAAGATGTTCCAGGCCCTCACACTCTGCCTGGATCAGGTGAGCAGATGAATTAGAGAGTGGCTTGGCCACCCTCGTCCACAGGTACCACTGCCCTAGGAGAGTGAGCAGAGAGTGGCCTTCCCAAAAGTCTGTTCAGGGTGTACTCAGAACCATCTCCCCGTGGGACATCCGTGTGAGTGGCTCCAGCACTTGGCTCTGAAATTGGGAAGGACAGTCTTTGCCCATGTACAGGAAGAAGCAAAGGCCTCCATTGTTTTCATTTTTCTTCCATACACGTTGTAAGGTTTGCTGCTCATTACTACCACTCTGCTGCAGGCAGACATCACTCATTAACTCATTAATGTAAATGAGCCTGACTAAGATGATGCTGGCTGCTGTCACTGGGTGGCGTGACTCAATAGTTTCTTCCTCTGTTCCACTGCAGT